CAAACAAACCAAAATCTATTTTTGTTTTTAATTTTTGGTTTCTAATTTCTATGTTCCATTCAACCTAAACTGTCAATTCCATTCCATCTTTGACATAATAATACAAAAGAAAACAGCATAGTCAAAGTGTAAATAAATAAGCCGATTTCAGCCGGCGACGTACATCTCGGCCCAAGTCAAACACTCTTATTTATTTATTTTCTTACCATCTTGTTTTACACCATTTATATTTGTATGTATAGCAGCCTCTTAGTTTGCACTTTATGCGAAAGACGATAACTCTTCATCTCTTTATCACGTTCTCTCTTCTTCCATTTTCTCAATGGTAATTGGCTGGTCGATAATAATAAGTTTTTTTGTATTTGTTTTTTTCACTTGGAACAAGCGCCTCATTTGATGAAAGGTTTATAACATAGTTTACATAACCATCTTGTAACGTTGATATAATGACCAAATGGCTAAGATAGCATCGTCAAGTAATAGTAGGTGCATGTATTTTTTATTCAAAAAAGTCAAATTTAAAATTTTCTTTCTCAAAATAAAATAACAAAAAGTGACAACTCAATGAAATTGATAAAGAAAATTATATAAAATAACCCATCATCCTAGACGTAATTAATTAAGTCTAATTAGTGTGATCAAACATTAAATCAACTCCTAAGCCTTGATGAACGGTGATTTTCGACCTAGAAAACTATTAATATTATTAGGCCTTTTTAATTAAGCATTGTAGAATTCAAAAACTAACTCAACTCTTTTCAGATGCATGGTTGACTCAATACTCATTATAATCTAGATATAAGACTTTCAAATGATCATGTTGGTAATACAGCTTGTGGTTTACTTCCTCCATGATAAATGAAATTAAAAAGGTTGAAACCCAAATGGCTTCTATAAATTTTTTGAACTACTTAATAAAAGATAATGATCTCTCATTTTGTGCATTATTGAAGCCCACCAATTGCATTTTATTTGTTTGAGTGCATATATATATATATATATATACTGATAACTAATAAGTTAAATTTACCCATCACTTCATAATTCTTTTTTAGATTTGCTGGGAACAACTAGAGTTGGTGTTGTGTTGAAAATTTAAGCAGATTTCAAGTTTCTCGGTAGACTGAATTGTTTACAACCGTGTAGGGGCCATTCCTTTTTTTTTTTTGTTCCTATTTTCCAATAAGAACAAATTTTATAGGAAACTTGCAGCTGATCAAAATCGCGTGTGAACGCTGAACATTGATTCAAAGAGGGTTGTTGGACATGAGAGAGAGAGAGAGAGAGAGAGAGAGAGAGAAGACATTAAATTGCAGAAACATGGAATATAGTAATGCTTAAAAGGAGAAAACGAGTACTGCCAAAAAGCCAAGACTTTCTCCCCTGCTTCCTCACCAATTTAAAAAACCTTCACTGTTTCCTCAAGACCACTAAGTATAATTATAATTTCAACAAATTAAAATAAATGAGTATATATTGAATGCAGAATTAGTCAACAAACACAAACTCTTTTAACAGTCTTTCGAAAGACCTCACTTCCGTTCCTGACTTCTTCCTACTTCCATTGATCATTCCTCCTACTTTAGAAACAGAATTCTATATAAATCTACGTAGTTGGGGTCCCAAAAGGCTTAAGATACAAATTGCCTTGGCAAACAATCTTTCCAGTGTCTTCTTCTGGGACGTCGATCCTGGGAACTTGGGTTTTTGTCAAAGGGACAGAATTGAGTTAATTCAAGATGGAGAAAGCCTCGAAAATTGTCCTGTTCTCATGCCTGGTGGTTTCTTTCTTGGCTTCTTCGTCTGCCCAAACCTGTCGTACCCAAACTTTTTCCAACAACAAGCAATATGACAACTGCGGCGATCTTCCAGCCTTGAACTGTTACCTCCACTGGACGTATCGAACAGATGGGACCATTGATCTTGCCTTTAGACACACCGGCACCAACTCGGGAAGATGGTCAGCATGGGCTATCAATCCCAATGGACCACAAATGTTTGGTTCCCAGGCTTTGGTTGCCTTTGTCAACTCCAGTGGCGTCGCTCACGCATTCACAACACAAGTTAATCCCCCGAGCCCTACCATGCAACAGAGTAATTTGAGCTTTGAGGTTTCAAGCCTTTCAGCAACCTTTGAGAACAATGATATGACGATCTTTGCTGTTCTGAGAATCTCCGAAAACTTGTTATCTACTAGCCAGGTTTGGCAGGAAGGTCCTGTGAGCAACGGCGTTCCAGGGATTCATCCTACTTCTGGAGAACACCTTCAATCCGTTGGAAGTGTCAATTTTCTTACAGGACAATCTGGAGGGAGTGCATCTAATTCAAGGGCTAGAAGACGAAATGTAAGTGACTAAAATCTGGGGGTAAATTCACTTAGACAGCTTATTTTCTTGATCGTATCATTTTAATTTGGTTTTATCATCATCATCATCATCATCATCATCAGCGCCAAGTTTTGATAGATGGGTTTACTCTTTCAACCACCATTCATATCTTCCGGTCTGTTTCCTTGTTTGTTTCGTTTCTGTTTTATTATTTCTTGGAGAAAGGAAGCGCCTATAATATTGGATTCATAAGTGAATAGTAATATCTATTACACGTTTATTTAGATTTTTCCTCTAAATTAAATGATTGATGATTAATTTGTTCTAAAATGGATTATATAGTGTAAGTTTAACATGTTAACAAGATTTAAAGTTTAGGCCTTTCTAAGAAATTTATTGTTGAATTTGAGCTCTGTTATCAAACTTGATTTGAATTCGACCTTGTTAAATTTTCTTTATTTTGAACATGGATAGAACTGGAATTACCATTCAATAGTCCAATTTCTTGAAGGTGGTTGTGTTGAATTTTCCAGGTTCACGGAGTACTGAACACTGTCAGCTGGGGAATCTTGATGCCTTTGGGAGCCATAACAGCTAGGTACATGAAGGTGTTCAAGTCTGCAGACCCGGCATGGTTTTATCTCCATGTTGCTTGCCAATGTTCGGCCTATATTGTTGGTGTTGCAGGATGGGCTACTGGTATTAAGCTCGGCAGCGAGTCTGCTGGAATCACCCAGAATCCCCACAGGAACATCGGCATCGTCCTCTTCTGCCTCGGAACTCTTCAGGTTATTTCTTCTCCGTTTACATTAACATAGTTAATTCAACAGTAAACACAATACTGGGTAAAGGAAATGTGGAATTCCATATCCTTATATTTTTTTAAAAAAGAAACGATCTCAGATTGGAATATCCTATTTTTGATTATTATGTTCAACTGGAGTTGATGCATAATTTTTGCTAGTCTCTGTCAATTCTCTGTTCGAGAAGCGACCATATCAAGTTAACTGAGAAAGAAGTTGCCGTCCGATGTTACGTATAATGAACCTTTGCAAGATACCCACTACCCCACTTCTTAGAGTCATTTTAGGTCTTTTTCTTTTGTTTGCCGCTATGATATGCTTTCATGGCGTTTCTTAATTATGTTCCCTTAAAGACTACTCCACTAAAATTATTACCTCTGTAGCAAAGGTTTCTTACGGGTATTTGATTGTCATATTGGCAGGTGTTTGCTTTGCTTCTGAGGCCAAACAAGGATCACAAATACAGATTCTATTGGAACATCTACCATCATTCCATTGGTTACGCTGTCATCATCCTCAGCATCGTTAACATTTTCGAGGGTTTCGACATTCTTCAACCTGAGGACAAATGGGAGAGAATTTACATCGGCATCCTCATATTTTTGGGTATTGTCGCGTCTTTGTTGGAGGCATTCACTTGGTACATTGTTCTCAAAAGGAGGAAGACTGGCTCTGATAAGCACTCTAACAGCATGAATGGAGCAGCCAATGGAGTGAACAGATATGGTGCCGGGGGACAGGGCGTGTAATATATATATATTTTTCTTTTTGGGTTAGTAGGCTTTTTGTGTTTGTTCTTAGGTGTTACTAGTACTCTCTACAATATTATTTTTGACAGCCCATACACCATGAGTTAGGGTGTTTTGGATGACCACCCATTTGTTATTACAGCTTATTGTTTTTAATTCTGTTGTAGTTATAATGTGATCCCTGAGATATACACTGTAGTTGAGGTGTGCATAGATGAAGTCTTTTCCTTGTCTCGATTCCATTTTCTTTTCAATTCATTCATTGTTCCTTAAATTCTGGTAGACATGTTGGGCTGCGGAAACTAAACAACAAAATTGAACTACGACCAATCCCTTTGGGACTTTGATGGGGGACGGGGAGAAGTGTGTGGACCAGTGAAATAAATGTTGTGTATGTGAAAAGACGTGTGGCAATCACTTGCCAACTTAGTCCAAGGGATGGGTGGCTCTCCAAACAACGTTTAAATGGTGTAATTGGGTAATTTAGGTTAGGTTCCTTTGCCTAATTTATGGTCAATTAGTGTGGGTGCTTTAAATTAAATTTTGAAAAGTGCATTATGAGAAAAGTAGAATTAGATTTATCAACCCTTTGCTATCAATAGCTATTCATATGGATTTTTGTTGTTCATAATTACAGCAATACATCTTGCGTGACTGGGCATGAACCCACTTTTTGTATGAGACCTAACTTGTGTATAACTGTAGATTGCATTTCGTTTTTCATTTTTTGGTCCTTCCTAGTTTTGCTTGGTAACCTGGTGAAGCAAGAAGGTTAGAGTGCCATTTTAGGGCCTTCGGATTAGCATTCATCACTTGCATGGACTATGAACTAGTTGCAGCCGTAGCCCACAGTCTAATGTTTAGCTCTTCAGTTGACCAATATGGCCAATAGGACCAGCGCCCATATTTCTTGCGACCTGTCTCCACCAATATTGTTTCATCGTCACAAACAAAGAGCAAATTTAATCAAAAGAAGTGACAAAAACTAACCAATTCTACTAACCAAAAGTAATGGAAAGTAGGCTAATAAAAATGAAGAAAGAAAAAGGATAATTTAAGCAAGTTACATACAGAAAACCATAAAATATTTTCAACTTGCTAAAATAAAGTATACACATGCATTTAAGTATAGTACAATAATTTAGCTAAAAAAAATGTATGGAAATTAACATGGAGCATCACAATTATCTAAATCTTGGCATGAACGATCTGTGGATTGCAGGTTGGCAATCTCTTTGATGATTTGGGATTTGTCTGCTTCAAACTGTTCATCCTCTGCAGCAAAGCAGAATTTAACATTAATTGACCTTGTATAGTTCTAAGAGTAATTTCAATACAGATGTTTTCTACCTTTATCAATGTTGAATTCACTAAAGAAGCGCAGGAGCTTGCTCCTATTTGTCACAAGGATGCTGATGATCTCAGGAGGCTTATTTTGATTTGCAACAAATAGCTGCTCAACAGCAAAATCGAGAAATGAAAGCGAAGACAAAACTAAGTAAAACCACAAAAAGAGAAATGAATATATGCAGAAAAATGGCAAATTCATTAACATTCACCTTGAACACGTGAAAGGTATCTAGTTTTATTGTCTTCTTTGAATCCTGCAGATTGGTGAACCAAAATGAACAGAGTGAAATATATGCAGAGGCTTTTCTATGAACACAAAATGCTGTCCATTTGATGTCAGATGTGTGTGTTTGTGTGTACATCCACAGCAAACAGCTGCTTGACTAAGTGAAAAGGGTACCCTGAGAAGATTCATCATGATCCTCATGTTATCTAATGAGCTCACATACCGAACCATCACAGAAGCATTTGAACGATCTAGCAACATATCTCCAAGGAGCTGCAAAAAATATTATCAGCAGTCAGAATATTACCGTGTAGCAGACATTGTGAGGAATCAAAAACAATGGTGAAGGACGTAAGTAATTTTATTTGAAAACAAGTTAAATCACCAACAAGCACCTGCTATACCTTGATAGCATGTCGTCTGGTGATGTAGCTTTCAGATTGCAGCAGTTGGGAATTGTATTCCTGGAAAAACTGGAACCAGAGAAAAGATAGTGTCTTACAGATAACAAACAAAAAATAGAATAACATGCTACTATACCATAGAAAAACTACCCTAATCTTCTATATTTATTCCAATAAAAATTGATATTTTCTGGATATATGCTTAGCATTAATCCTAAAGAGTATGCACTCTGACTATAGTTATACAAGCAACACAATCATGAATCATAAGTTCTGAGTTCATACCTCTGAATTCTTGTACTAATATTAGCCACTATGATCATACATGGAAATAGTTATATAACAGAGAGATTATATATCTTGATATTGAATCCAACACTTTACCCAGTCATAATTTGCAGAAAGGAATCCAGCCACAGTAGATTTATGCCTTATCAAAAGCTCCTGAAGAAATGTGTTTGTGTGTCAGAGTTCATGAGTGTTTCTAATTTTTGATACAAACAGAAGAGAGGGCATGTTATAAACCATATATGACAGAAAAAATAGAAACCAAAGAAAAAAAAGTTACTGAGCTTTAAAAGTTGCTTGAGCATCTGATGCTATGTCGAAATTTGGATTTTGTAGATAATCAAAAAACTTCTTCATATGCTCTGATACCAAGACATACCTGTAAAATCAAGCCACCGAAGAAAAAAAAAGTTTCTTCTCTTAGTTTAATCTAACACTACAAGGAGCTATGGTAAAAAGTATTTTCACTCTATACTAGCTTAATGAGAAACAGAGTTACGCCTAGGCAAATATACACGAGGATAGACCAAAATACTTGAGTCAAAGCAGTAGCTATGCATTCAAATTCTATGTTTTGTGCCTTAGTCCTTTTGACTCAAAAGCAGAGCATAGATTATGAAATCATTTGCAGCAAAGAAGTGTTCAAGTGCATAATAACCTCTCTTTGCATACATTAAGAAACAAAACGGTTAATTAATATCTTTGATCTCCATCACCCGAAATTCTGATATAAAATTTACCCAAAGTTGTACAAGCTTTGATTGGTAAAACTAACACTTCCACAAGGCTTTTCTCAAACATTTGAAATATGAATCCCAATTAAACATATTTCTTACTTAGCAACACTCTGATGACGGATGCACTCCCTTGAAATTGAACCATAAGTCCAAGCAATATCACTATCTTCATAACTAACACCAACGACAACTAGTTAGTCAAATTATTTGTATTTGAAGCCTTTTACCCATGAAAACAAAATTAAAATCTTACCCAGGTATCAAAATATCCATAATATCCAAGTTATTTTCCAAATACTCGGAAGCAATTAGCTTTGAATTTACCCTTTGTCTTTGTAAATTTGCAATCACATGAGTAGCATTTTGACGGGCCTGCGAATAGTCAAGAATTAATAATCTTATTGCTTGTGTGCCAAGAAAGAAAAAAAGAATTTATCATCTTGAATGAAATGTTAAGACTTACCCCTGAATTCAAAGTTGGAAGACAAAGGATGAGAAGGCGAAATGTATCCTGTTGAAAGAACTCCTTGGTCAATTGTGCACAAGCATCTGAACTTGGCTCCACTTGACCGTCACCATAAAGAACTGTTCTTATATCCAAAATCAATTTGTCTAGTTCTGCAATCTGCACAATTTACAACCTTTGACTCAATGTATAAGGCGTTTGATTTCATGATCCAATTCAAAATGAAAATTAGAAAACTCTCCTGTTTCTACCCTTCAAACAAAAGAAGATCTATTTATTCAAGAGGTAGTTTAGCAAATTATTCGTAATAAATCTTGTCATGCGGGTTACAGAAAGGAAATTCGACATAATGAAGCCATTCATGTCTCCTGAATTAAGTAGTGCTGATGATTATAAAAGAAAATTATTCTCATCAAACAAAAAAACAAAAATCATGGAAACCTTCTCTGTTCGTTTGCGTTCACGGGTCTCGGTGTTGCTGAGAGCGTAAGCAAGAAGCTCACGCGTTTGCTGCACCAGCTCCACCGGTGTTGGGGGCTTTGATTTGAACAGCCCCTTCATTTTCCCTTTTCTTCCCTGTTGACGTAAATCTTGTTGCTCTCAATATCTTCGATGCTTGATGATTATTAGGGTTTTAGAAGAGAAGAGGAAAAAACGTGGGATCAAAAAGGGAGCTCGCACGATCAAATGCCAAAAACGGATATTTTGGGGTTTGAAGCTTATTTGAGGCATGCAAGGAGGGTCGTTAGTTATTATTAGAGCGTGGGAAACAAACCAAGGCATCCGCAGTTTTATCCTTGCGTGCCATTGCACTTCCGTTGGATGTTAAACCGATCTCAAACTCATTATTCATCTCATGTATTTAATCTTTATTTTAAGTTGACACTTCACATTAGCTGAGACTTGTTAATGATGCATGAAGAAATCAAGCAGAGTCCATTGACTCAAACCGATTACTACATGCATATGATATTGGGCATATACATTAGCTGAGGCTTGTCAAATTGAAGCATTCTAATTAACTATTAATAAGGATTGAGATAAAATCTTTTAATTTGTGGATATTTTATTCGATTAAAATATTCTAGTTTTATTATTTATTTAGATTAAAAATTGTAGTCTTTACATTTCTCTCTGCTTTCTTGGCTTGCCGGAGAATATAAAAATGACAGAAGATATATTTTTGGATTGTGAGATATAATTAGCATGGAGTTAAATTTAATATTTTTGGCCAAGTTTTCTCAAAATTAGTTTGATAAAAAACCTTTTTTTTTTATTTTTTGGTTGTCGTAGGAGTGTTCTATTAGAGCAATATTTTCTCTTTATATATATATGTATGGTTGTTATTGATAAATGCATTTTTGCTATTGACGAGCTTAAAATTTATCCTTAAATGCTTGATTTTGGATTAAGAACCTTGGTGTTCGAAATATTTCTTTGATATAAAAGTGATTTGCTCTTCAAAAGGTTTATATTTAACGCAAAGGAAACATACTTGATATTCTTGAAGATTGTTGTTTTCTAGACTTTTAAAATTGTTCCTTTTTTGCATGGACGTCCTATTGGTGATTAATTTATCTCATTACTACTTAGCTTGATATTGCTTATTCAATGCACATTGTGAGTCTGTTCAGACGTTTTTCTCGCAAACTACATTTAGATGCAGCCTAGCCTATCGTTTCCTTCACTATTTGAAAAGTGGTCCTATCTAAAATCTTTTTCTTCCAGTTGATCATTCTCTCTGATTACGTTTATTTTGTGATTCTGATTGGACCATATGTCCAATGACTCGTCGGTAGAAATAAACCACTATCTCTTACTCTTCTGCAGAAGCTAAGTATCGTGTCATAATAAGGACTACTTGTGAAATATTTGTTGAAATCTCTATTGAAAGGTCTTGGTATGTTTGCCATCCAGCCACTCTCGTTGTTCTGTGATAGTCAAGAAGCTTTGCATATTACAACTAATCCAGTCGACCATGAAGTTGATTGCCATGTTGTTCGTGAAAAATTCCATCTTGGCATCGTTTTTCCTCATTTTATTTTCACCATACACCGGCTTGTTAACTTATTTGCTAAACCTCTTGGCAAGAAACGTTTTCATTTTTTATGCATCAAGTTGGGTATTTAGAGTCTTCATCAATCATCATGTTCCAATTTGAGAGAGAGTATTAGAAAGGTATATTTTCTTTATTAGATTTTAGTATATCTCTAAATATGTTGCAATATATTCTCTGTACATATTTAGTCGAACACTCTTGTGTATATCCTGTGCTTCTACTGAATACAAAATAGAACAATTTAACCTCAATTGCTTCCATTAATTCAGGAATGCAGCATTTATCAAATTGACCACATATATGGGACACGATTCATCTTAGTATATATTTGATTTTGGAAATGTAAATTTATTACATGTTACTCTCGTACAAAAATGAAAATGAGTACTTAAATAATCACATGTATACACTATCTATCTAAATAATTTCCAAAATTCTCTTTTTCTTGTAGAATTTTATTTATACAAGCCTAGAGGGTAGAGTTTGCATTTTTGGTGTATAAAGCTTGGCTTTTACACTTTGGTTATAGTATAGGGATTAATAAATAATTGTCTGTTATGAGAAAAAAAAAATTCCATACGCGAAAATTGAGAGACCTTTAACCTCGAGAAGGACTTGTACTCACTAATCAACTAGTTTGACAGTTTGAATCTCCAATCTTGATTTCTAAACCCAAAATCTATAAGAAGAAGCTCATTTTGTGCTGATATATTGAACATGTATAGAGTTAAGATTAGGTTACAGTAAAAGATATTAAAAAATTAAGATAACAAATGAATATAATAAAACTATGTACGTGTTTTTGCAAAATTTCATCCCAAAAGGATTCTTTTGATAAAAATAAAATTATAGCAATTGCGTAGGGCTTGTGAGAGCCATACATAACAGCCCCAAATAGCAAAATTCAGCAATGTTTTGTAGAATTCCAGGATCTTGACAAGGCAAATGGTTATCCAGACCCAGTATCCACCACAAGGCACAAAACCCTCCACCACAAACAAGATCCAAAACCTCCTTCTCTTCACATTTCACAAAGGCCAATGTCCATACTTCACAGAATGGCTATTCTCCATTCTCTCCCCTATTCCTCTCGCCTCCTCCCTAAGCCCACTTCTCTCCCTCTCCCGAACCCATCTCTGTCCCTTCATTTCCCTCCTAAACGTCTCGTTTCCTTCCCAAAACGACAGGAACTCAAACGCATTCATGGAGCGGTTGCCACTGACTCTGCTCAGCCAGCTGTTGAGCCCCAAAACGACGCCGTTCAGGATATCCAGAAGGAAGAAGAAGCTGTCAAACTTGTTCTTCCAACTAACGAGTCATCTGAAAAGCTCCTCAAAATTAGACACACGGTAATTATTGCTTTATCGTTTTTCTTTTCTGGGTATTTTTCGTTTGTCATAAAAGACATATGGTACCAAAGTTCTCATTTTTATTTCTTGCCTAAGCAAAGCTTTTATATTTATCTGTGGGATTTCAGTGTGCACACGTAATGGCAATGGCAGTTCAAAAGCTATACCCAGAAGCAAAAGTGACAATTGGACCCTGGATAGAAAATGGGTTTTACTATGATTTTGATATAGAGACTTTGACTGATAAAGATCTCAAGAGGATTAAAAAGGAAATGGTAAGTAAACTAATGTAAATAATCTAGTTAAAGAGGGGAAAGTTTTGTGAGCTTTGGGGAAAATGTTTTCATTTGGGCTATGATTTTCAGGGGTACAGAGAAATTCATTTGTTACATCGAAATCTGTAGGATCGGATCATTAAACGAAATTTACCGCTTGTAAGAGAAGAAGTTTCAAGAGATGAAGCTCAAAGAAGGATAATGGCTATTAATGAACCTTACAAGATGGAGATTTTGGATAGTATTAGGGAAGATCCTATCACTATTTATCATATTGGTAAGCCACATCCCCTCTTTTGAAAAGTTCCGGTAGAGTTGGAGCTTAAATTTCCTTGTAACTGACTTTTTTTTTCTAGTTTTAGCTTGTTAGATTATAACTTTTTATGTAAAAGTAATGTTTTTATTCTAGGTTAGTCAATTCAAGGTTTCACGCATATTTTCTATAATTCTGCTAGAAATATTGATTTAATTATACCAGCTTTCTTCCATGCCTGTTGCTTTCAATGTTGTTGCTGTAATTTCCATTTTCTTATATTCACTTTTGGTGGTCATGCATATGCTAAGTATCTATGTCTACATTTGTTTAACTTAATCAGTGTGTCTAGTTAAGAGTTGCGAGATGAAGTAGCAGACATCAAAGCTGTTTTTCTTGTGTTTGACAATTTTCCTGACTAATACTTACTCCAGGGAATGAGTGGTGGGATCTTTGTGCGGGACCTCATGTTGAAACTACTGGCAAGATTAACAAGAAAGCTGTTGAGCTTGAGTCTGTTGCTGGTGCTTACTGGAGAGGAGATGAAACGAAGCCTATGTTACAGAGGATATATGGAACTGCATGGGAAAATGAAGAACAACTGAAGGCTTACCTTCACTTCAAAGAGGAAGCTAAACGTCGGGATCACAGACGTATTGGCCAAGATCTTGATTTATTTTCTATACAGGTAGCTCTCTTCTGGTATTTTCCAGTCCTACTTTTGGTGGCAGTTGATAACATAAAATCTTTGTTCTTCATTTGTGATTTGTGTCATTTGATACATTCACATTGATAAATTTATTTATTGCAGGAGGAGGCTGGTGGAGGTTTAGTCTTCTGGCATCCAAAGGGTGCCATTATTAGGCATATTATAGAAGATTCATGGAGAAAGATGCACGTAGAACATGGTTATGATTTGCTATATACTCCTCATGTGGCAAGGGCAGATCTTTGGAAAATCAGTGGTCATTTAGACTTTTATAAAGAAAACATGTATGATCAAATGGAGATTGAGGATGAACTTTATCAACTTCGACCAATGAATTGCCCTTACCACATATTAGTCTACAAAAGGAAGCTTCACTCTTATCGAGACTTCCCAATCAGAGTTGCCGAGCTTGGGACTGTCTATAGATACGAGTTATCGGGCAGCTTACATGGCCTTTTCCGTGTAAGAGGTTTTACCCAGGTAAACGTTATATCTGTGATTAGTGGTTCGACTGATTATGGAGCTTAGATTAACAAGTTAAACAATATCTTTACTTATTTTCAGATCAAGCTTTGATTAACCACTTCAATTGCAACTGCATTTGCAGGATGATGCACACATTTTCTGTTTAGCAGATCAAATCAAGGATGAAATCAGAGGTGTCTTAGATCTTACAGAAGAGATACTATTTCAATTTGGTTTCAGCAAGTATGAGGTGAACCTCTCAACTAGGCCAGAAAAAGCTGTGGGAGGTGATGATATTTGGGAGAAGGCAACAATGGCACTTAAAGATGCTTTGGACGATAAAGGCTGGAGCTATCAGATTGATGAAGGTGGTGGTGCCTTCTATGGTCCTAAGATTGATATTAAGATTGAGGATGCTCTTGGAAGGAAGTGGCAGTGCTCAACCATCCAGGCAAGGTTTAAGTTTTAACTTAAAAATAGATTCAATTTTGACTTATCCCTGTTCTCTGCCATTCTTCCAAAATTTCCTTCTTTTCCTTATTCTACACCTTCTCTTTACGTTTCTTTTATGTTGGCTTTGAGCTCAAATGTACATTTTCTTTTGGGTGAAGTAAGATCATGGCTAGAAAATTTGATTAAACTCGTGCTGCAAAGATTAAAGCGCTTTGATCAACCAGCAATTAATTTTCTCACTGCACAGGTTGATTTTAACTTGCCAAATCGATTCGACATCACTTATGTTGACTCAAACTCAGAAAAGAGGCGTCCAATCATGATCCATAGGGCTGTGCTTGGATCCTTGGAGCGATTTTTTGGAGTCCTTATTGAGCATTATGCTGGGGACTTCCCCTTGTGGCTCTCTCCTATACAAGCTCGGATTTTGCCAGTTACCGATACACAGGTATATTTGGCTTCTGGTTTATCAACTCTTTAACAAGTGTGTGCTGTGTCAATTGATTGACCATTTATTTGAATCTTCTCAAAGACTTTTGCTCTTGTAGTCTTCTAAAAGAACAAACTGCTTTGTCTTGTATGCAGCTTGGATACTGTAATGAGGTGTCCAGCAAACTCAAAGCCAATGGCATTCGAGCTGAAGTTTGCCGTGGCGAGCGCTTACCAAAGCTTATCAGAAACGCTGAGAAGCAGAAAATTCCACTAATGGCAGTCGTGGGCCCCAAGGAAGTTGAAACTCAGAGTGTCACTCTTAGATCTAGATTTGGTGGGGAGCTTGGAACCATGAAGATTGATGAATTTATCAGTAGTATGGAGCAAGCCATTAAAAACAGAAGCTCATTGTAAAGTTCTTATGCTAGGTAGGTAATTGAGTCCTATATATCTGATGTTATCAAATAAATCGGGAAAAGGTGAACCAATATATGAAAGGTTGAAAATTTTTGTTTCTAAATTGAGTATAGATTCCAAAATATCTCATGTTTTTGACTCTTTCGTTTCCTTGTGAAAGGGAAAAGAAAAATCGTTCAATGTTTGGCTCGTGTATGTATCCTTAACTCAAGGAGTTTGATTTGAATCCTGTGTCTCTTAAATCAAAATGAAGAAGGAAAATGGACAACTATGGAAAGAAAATCCCCAAACTACTCAAAGGAGAGCTGCAAAACTAATCATGACTGTAATCAAACACAGTAGCTCACAAGTTATTGGATAACTGCCACAACACTTGTTCAGTTTGTTGGGCTTTTAACTTGATGGAAAATTCAAACATATAGTTGGAGCTTTGTCAGTTGTGTTCTGAGCCCCGTTAAAGCCCGCATGGTGATAACACTCTGGAATTCATTCTTCTTCTATTACAAGGTCCGTCATGGAGGACAAGAAAGTCGGGGTATAGGCTCATAACCCTTCTCTCTAGGGCTTTGCTTCCTCTCCTATTAAACAACACCTCGAATCTGGTAAGGAAAATTAAAATCCCACTTTAGATGATCGTAACATCGGTAATCCTTTATATTGGGCTAAATTGGCGAATGGCAATTGATCGAAGACATGATACTAATCTAGTCCTAATTCTAGTCAAGCGAGAATCTGTGATTTTGAAAATTTCTACAGCATACAGGGGAAAACAAAGCTTCCACAGGAAATGGCTAATATATAAAAATAGCACAACGTTTGTGCCTAGGCATGTGAATGTTTGGAGCTGAAACTCCCTCGTAAATGGAATCGTAAAGAAAATCCAAGGATATATAATTCCGTTTTTTGAAGGACCAATTGCTTCAAGACTCAAATGGTTAAAAACTAATAACAAGTAGGTAAAAGCTTTTGTGGCGTTGAGGTTCTCTGTCACACTATAAATTAACCCATTGAATCCATTTGTCATCATTCAAAGAATTTGTTCTAGCTATAAAGAAGTTTAAAAGAAGGAACAAGAAAGAAAGGAAAAAAACAAAGGAAATCAAGATTTCCAGAACCATCAAATGTTCCAGCTCCCATGAAAAAACAGAAGTTGGTCACATTGGTTGCAGAGTCCAATAGCTGCAAATTTCACCTGAAAAAAATACGGAGCAAAGCCTGATGGAAACACAGATGATACCCAGGTGATGACCACTGTGTTTGAATATGTTATTTGTGCTAGATTATCATCCATCTGAAACTTAAGTTTTAAATGTTCTTTAAGCTATTATGAGAGCATGGAAAAAACCATGTACAACTACGGATCATGCGCCGTTATTATAGCCGAAGGACTAAAGGGTTGGTTCTTTGAAGTTCCAAGGCCCTGCAAGCTCTTAGTAGACCTTCAAGTCAGAATATGGATGGGCTGTTTGATTAACAGTCTCGGGAGGAGGAACATTTGATGGCCAAGCCGAGGAAGACTTATTTGGGCCTACAACGATTGTGCCAAAACTGGCAAATGCAATTCACTGCCATTGTAAGTCCTGATCATTCACTTTATTTGGCTTTTTCTTCTTGTTGTCTGAAAGTACAGCAATGCGGATTAAACTTACTACGTTCATGACATTACTTCTCTGGACAGTAAGCTCTTGTGTCGCATGAGTTTTCTCTAGAACCGTGTGACCTTAAACTTTACTTTATTCAAGGGCTCTTAGAAAGACTAGCAACCTTTTCAAATAGACTAAGTTAGGATCATTTATGGTGAGCACAACAAGAGTGAAGTGAGCTTTGGGAACAAAGAGAGAGTTTTATTGCATAAGAACTTATTACATGAGTCATTTGTTACAAATAAAGAGGCTCAAGGGGTTTATAAAGGCCAAAGACCCCTTAGAGTCGTTACAAGGTAGTGTCTAATAGCTAGGTAGCATTTTGAACCTTGGTGGTTCAAACTAACGTGCCTTTAAGCTCCCTTTTAATGGCTAACAATGGTTGCCCCACAGGCCATGGGTTAGCTAGTGATTCTTGCGCACCTTGCAAGCTGGTTGCCTCTCTGCCCATTAGTTTGCTCCTGTGCCTTAGCTATGCACCAGTCTGCTG